TAATCCTGCCAGCATTATTTGGTAGAAATACAGATTTTTTTGGGAATGAGCTGCTCCAAAATATTTTAAAATCAATTACTGCTTTATGTAAAATTTGCTCAGTAAGTACTTACGTAGTCTATTTATGTGGTAAGAAAAAAAAAATTCTAAATATTATTGTGTGTGGCACAACAACAAAAAAAAAAGGTATTAAAAAAAGAACTAGGTCTAGAATACAATATAATGAAATTCGAGCAGAGGTTACCAATAGACAAACAGCAAAACGCCAAAACATGGATAAAAGACAAAAAGGTTAGAGTGCGAGCTGTGTGTATTAACCATCAGTGAAATGATGAATTTATACAAACACTTATCTACAAAAGAACTTGAAGATTTAAATGATATGATGTCTGAAAATATTTTTGGAATAAAACTCTATAATGAATTGTATGATACTGACTTATCAAAGTCTATCAATTATTATGGTAGAGTAGAAAAAGTAAACAAGAGTCAAAATGATAGAATTTACGCTATTTCTTACTGGAAACAAAATAAAACTATTGAGCGTAAGATAAAAAAAAACCAACTAGCTGCAGATGTTTTATTAGAGAAGTTAATATTTTTTAAGTTTGAATATGAAATAAAATCCTTAAAAAAGAAAGTTCTGCAAGTTTTGTGGTTTGCACACAAGTACCGCAAGGTTTGCGGCTTGCAAGTAGGTAGAGCAAGTTGTGGTTTGCAAATTATTTTGATTGACGGCGCTGGCTTACCTTCATGTGATTTTTATCGTAAAAAATGGTTTATTTTAGTTCATAAATGGAAATCAAAGCATAAATCCTTTACTAAAAACAAAAAAATTAGTTAATTACTTTTTTATTTCAAAAGTGTGTGGAGTGGGTAGTCCTTTTTTTTTAGGTTGGAGTGGGTAGTCCTTTCTTTTTTAGGTTGGAGTGGGTAGTCCTTTCTTTTTTAGGTTGGAGTGGGTAGTCCTTTCTTTTTTAGGTTGGAGTGAGTAGTCCTTTCTTTTTTAGGTTGGAGTGGGTAGTTCTTTCTTTTTTAGGTTGGAGTGGGTAGTCTTTTCTTTTTTAGGTTGGAGTGGGTAGACCTTTCTTTTATATAACAAAATGGGTACTTTCACACATCTTGTAGCGTTGTAAAATAGTTTTTTATACTATTTTAAATGTGTTTAAATTTCATACTCAATTAAGCATCGTGGCCCGTATTTATAGAATTTATTTACAGATAATACAAATAAAAAGAAAACCTTCACTTGATCGATTTAAAAAAGAATAAAGTTATTTGCTCTGGTAGTTCGTTCAAAAGAATAAAGTACAAAGTTATTTGCTCTGGTAGTTCGTTCCAGTATTTTGCTGATCTATTATACAAATGATTATATCTTGGAAGACAGTTTAGAACATACTCACGCCTTATTTTAGAATGGTGACCACGAGACACGGAGTTAATATATTTTGGTAGATATTTATCATTAACTATATCAAAACGATGTATTAATTTAAAAATTTGGATTAAATCGCATCGAAGGTGTCGAAACTCAAGTGATGGTAGATTTAATCTTTTTAGCCTTTCGCAGTATTGAAGATGCCTCAAGCTGTAAGCCCATTTTGTAGCTTTGCGTTGAACAGATTCAACCAAAGCCATATCAGCTTTTAAAAAAGGAGCCCAAATGGACACTCCATATTCAAGATGTGGTCTTATAAATACTTTATATAATTTGAGAGCCATTTTTTCATCAATGAAAGTGAATGTCTTTTTCAGCATACCGAGAATTTGTAAGGACTTAGAGACAACTGTTTGAATATGAGCGCTCCACTTGAGGTTAGATGTAAAAATGACTCCTAAATCACGTTCTTTAGTAGAGCTTCTTAGAGATTGGTTGATTCCTTGGTTATTTTGAAGAAAGTAATTGTAATGGGGGTTGTTTCGACCGTAATGAATGACGCAGCATTTTGAAGTGTTTAGCTTAAGTAACCAAGTGTTTGACCACTCGTATACCAAGCGTAGACGATCCTGCAGATCAACAAAATTAGATTGCGATAAGGTTTTAGAAAAAAGTTTAGTATCATCGGCAAATATCTCAGAAGTTTCAGTGAGTTTTGCGAGATCATTTGTGTAGAGAATGAAGAGGAGCGGGCCGAGAACAGAACCTTGAGGAACACCACTGAGAACATCAACCCATGCAGAGCTGGTATTGTTAATTGTAACGCGTTGCTTTCTGCCCACTAAAAAAGATTTAATCCATTGTAGGAGTTTGCCGTTTATTCCGAAAGATCTTAATTTTAACAAAAGTCTGTTGTGAGGTACAGAGTCAAACGCTTTGGCAAAGTCAAGATAGATTACATCAATAAATTGGTGAGATGCTATGGAGGACGAAATGATATCAAAAGTTTCTATTAGGTTAGTTACGCATGATTTATGATAAAGGAAGCCATGTTGATTTGCAGAGAGCATTTTATTATCGTTAATGTGCTTTAAAATTTTTTTCTTTACAAGTTTTTCAAAGATTTTACAGGCAACAGATGTTAGTGAAATAGGTCTATAGTTTTCAGCAAGTAATTTATCTCCCTTTTTTTTATAGATCGGACTAATATTTGCTAATTTCCATTGAGTGGGTACTACTCCAGAATTAAAGGATTTAGGAAAGATTTTTGTTAATGGAATTGCAAAGCTTTTGGCACATATCTTGAGTATTAAGGGATGCAAGCCGTCAGATCCGAAGGATTTATAAGGCTTTAGATCGGCAAGTTCCTGAATAATATCTGAGATAGAGAAATCCAAGTTTTCATTAAAAATGCATTCAGAAAGAATACCACTTTTATTTAGCAAAGGAAAATTTTCAGAGCTTTCAAGTGTAAACATAGATTTAAATTGAGAGTTCAGAAGATCAACTATATCAGGAAGAGCTTCAATAATTCTGCCTGAAGTATCTTTGAGAGAGCGAATTCTATCTTTAATTTTTAGTTGTTTGTTGATATATTTGTAAACGATTTTTGGGTTGTTTTGGGATTTTGATATTATTTCTTTTTCATGTGCTTTTTTTGCTTTAAATATTTCAGTTTTTACTGAACGATTAAGGCGATTGTATTTTATTTTAAGCTCACTATTCTCCCATTTGGTAGAGCAGTTTATATGCCAAGCGGATTTTTTTTCTCGGATCAGGTTTTTAATATGTGGGGTAACCCAAGGATCATACTTTTTTTTTGTTTTATTAATCTTGGGAATAAAATATGTGCAAGCAGTGCGATAGTTAGAAATTAGTATATTGAACATTTGGTCTGCAGTTTTATGCAGGAATAAAAACTCCCAGTCGATTGATGCAATAAAGTTAGATATTGAATCGTAATCACCTTTTTTGTAATTAAACGATTGAGATTCACTTTCGGTAAACAGTTCTGAAACTAAGAATCTCCAAGTGATACTAAAATGACCCTTAGTGGTGTTACCTAGTATAGTACTAGGAGACAAGTTTAAAATAGAATTACTGTTGTAGGTAAATAACAAGTCCAACATATTATTTGAGGAACCATAATCAGTCTGGAAAGTAGGAAATGTGATATGTTGAGTAAAAAGGCTGTTTTGGAAAATATTCCAGAAATCATACTCGGTAGGATTGTTTGGGTTAAAAGATTCAATACCATCATTAGACCACTTTATATTCGGGAAGTTAAAGTCACCGACAATCAAACAGTCATCATAGGGCTTTTTAATTAAACTATGAGCTAATTTGAAGGATTCAGCGACATATTTTATTAAACTGGCATCATTTGGTCTGTATATACAACCGATAAGTATATGCTTGTTGTTAAATTTTACAGATACCCAGACTTGTTCGAGAAGATTTGTATAAAATTGGTTAACTTCATGAGAGTTAAATACGTCTGTAATGTAGATAGCTACACCGCCACCTCGACGTCCGTCTTGACGATCTTTACGATATAGGCTATACCCATCGATATTAGGTACTGAGTCATTTCGAAACCATGTTTCAGAGATAGCAAGAACGTGATAATCAAACGTTCTAGATATTGAAATTAAATCGTTCTAGATATTGAAATTAATGATATTACTCTCTTAATATAATTATATGTATGTATCTTTTTTTTTTTTTTTTTTATTATCTTTTATTTTTTTTTATAATCTTTTATTTATTTTATTGCAACTATATAATCATTTTTTTTTTTTTTTTTTTTTTCATTATCTTTTATTTTTTTTTATTATCTTTTATTTTATTACAAGTATATAATCTTTTTTTTTTTTTTTATATAATCTTTTATTTTTTTAATTTTCTTTTATTTTATTTTATTACAAGTATATAATGTTTCTTTTTTTGCAACTGCAGCTGCATTCTTTTTCTTTTTGCAACTGCAGATAATGTAAGCATTTTAGCAATTACGCCAATATAATATAATATTTATATATCACGATTTTATAAAAATGGGGCTCGGTGATAAGACAGAATTATGTCTTCTTCTTGCTCCAGCCATTATTTATTTTGTTATATATATAAAAATTATATTTATTGTAGAAGGAGAAAAAAATATATGTTTAAAAAAAACACTCACACACATCGGAACCCTATTAGACAAAATGTTACATTAGCAAATCGCTTTTGAGAGCTTTTATAGGCAGCTAGAACTAACATTGATATATTAAGAGTTCATATATACTCTAATACTTTTTTAATAAACTTAAATAAGCTTTTCTAATATAATTCAACTAAAACTATGTTGATAAATTTGTTTATAGTACAATGTAGTTATTCTCATCCGGAGATTTAGAAGGCTTTTTAAAATTTTGTCGTAAATATAATTGTTATAAAAAAGAAAATTATCGTTTACTCCTCTTTGACTCCTAGAGGTATTTTAAACTTTAAAGAGGTTTGGTTGGCCTGCAATAGTTTAGAAGGACTACACGCAAATATGATCAATAATGCAGCATTATAAATTTTTGGGTATTTTGGAGTTTTTTAGTAGGCTTGAAAAAAAGTTTAAACATGCCAATGCTTTTTTGTTCTTTTTGCCAACATTCTACATCTATAATTTTATATTTACTGCATCTTTAATTTTAGGTTTACCGTTTTTCACAATTAATTGACATGTATATTTATATAGTTTATATAAAAATCAAAATATTGTTTAAAAAACATAAACATGTGATTTTGATTTAAGATAAAATAGTAATGTTTATTTTAGAAGTTATACAAACTTTATATCGCTGATATAATTATAAAAAAACAAACATATAAGATAAAAATAGTGAAAAAGCGACAATTAAAGTTGCCATTTATTTATTTGATTTTACGATTAAACGTAACTAACTCACATGACGTAACCAACTCACTTAGAAATTTATTGCATTAAATAAAATTTAAACAAAAAGCGCTTCTATATAACAATAACGATATTATAATTTATTTTTATTATTATCATTATTATTATTATTATCATATATAAGTCCAAAGATAAAGAATAATATTAAAAAGTCATATCTGGCAAGGGTTTGTAGCCGTTTGATTGTTGTTTTCCTCCAGGTGATGCTATATATTTTTGTTTGTATAGCCGGTAAAACACCATCGACAAATTTTCCCTAAACTGCTAACTCTGAAAACAAAATATTAAAGGGTTTACAAAAGAATTTGAAAATCGCAATAAAACAAAAACTTGGAAGATCTGATCATTCCATTTCATCATTTCGGTTTTAAAAGAACTGACTACTAAAAGTATTCTGTTTGGTAAAATACAAATGCAAAAAGCAACTGCTATTATTTTTATTGTCTTTATTGTTTTGACTTTACGAATATTTATTATATCAACTTTATTGACTTTCATAGATTTTCCTAAAAAGACTCCAATTTTTTCAAGAGATATAGAGATTTGATAAAAACAATAAGAAACAATAACAACAGGTATTGCTGTGTCTGAAATAACATGAAGAAGTTTTCGGATTATACCAGTGTACTTTTTCTTTGAAGAGTATCCACAAAAATTTCCGAATTCATTATTTTTTGGATCATACTTTAAACATATTGCTCCTAAAATTTCTTTGATAAAAGCAAGGAAGAAAATGAAAACCATTATAGCAATTTTAAACTTTGTAGACTTTTGTTGAAACAATAACGATTTTTGATACAATATTGCGTTCCGTCTCTCGATTGAAATGAATACGAGTAAAAAAACTGAAGCACTTAAAAACCAATACGGCAAAAAATAACCAGTAATAAATATACACATCAAATCACCACTAATGTTTTGGGGATGATACTTTTGAAATCTGCTAGTTGATATATAATAAATTGGTAAGCTAAGTAAAGAGACCATAAAATCAGCAAGTGCTAATGAAAATATGGCAATATGAAACGATGATTTGCGATCAATATTTTTCGATAAAAGTATAACAATCATTACAACGCCATTTCCAATAATTCCTAAAACTGCAATCATTGAATACCAAGTTAGTTCCCAGTATCTTAACGGAAAGCTGTTCTAAAATAAAATGAAACATGTATTTTATATCTTAAAAACATTTAAATAATGTCTTTAGTTTTAATGTTTCAATTATATATTTTAATAAACATACAAAACGGATTATAAATGTTAAATATGATGTAATCAGATATATATATATATATTTATTGTGATAAAAATATAGTAATAGTAACAATAAAAATGATGAAGAGAATAGTAAGGGGCTGTCCATTAATAATGTCAACAATTTTTTGGCAATTTTTGCCTCCCACATACCTCTTGTCAACAACTAACTTTTCATATATATATATATATATATATATATATATATATATATATATATATATATATATATATATATATATATATATATATATATATATATATATATATATATATATATATATATATATATAGATATATATATATATATATAGATATATATATATATATATATATATATATATATATATATATATATATATATAAATATATATATATATATATATATATATATATATATATATATATATATGTATATGTATATATATATATATATAAATTTATATATATATATATATATATATATATATATATACATATATATATATATATATATATATATATATTTATATTTATATATATATATATATATATATATATATATATATATATATATACATATATATATATATATATATATATATATATATACATATATATATATATATATATATATATATATATATATATATATATATATATATATATATATACATATATATTTATATTTATATATATATATATATATATATATATATATATATATATATATATATATAAATATGTTAATTGTTGATGCAATGCGCCCTGTTGTATCAACAATTAACACACCACCTTATGGAACATCTGATTATCTTGTTAAAATTATTCAACCGACTCTGAACAAAAATAAAAGTACACTTATGAATCCTAATAGTTTTGTAAATGAAGCTAAGCAATGCATTATAGATCCTTTGATATAGTCAATTTATATCCATTCATACCCACTGACGAAGCAATTCCGGTTATTATTATTATATTGAACGCTGACATTGATGACTTTAAAACTAAACTTACTCTTGCAGACATACATCAATTAATTTAACTTTCATTAAGTATATGCTATTTTTTATATGAAAACAATATCCGAATAATACCTAATTCAGGTCCTATAGGTTTATCTTTAATGGTTGTTATGGCGGAAGCGTTTTTACAAAATTTAGAAAGAAAAGCATATAACATCGCAATTATTCATACATCGGAACCAAAAACTTACAAGAGATATGTAGATGATTGTCATGCTCGCTTTACTTCAATAAAACAACAACAAATGTTCCTGAACATCCTTAATAAACAACATCATGCCATAAAATACACTTTGGAACTTGGAAACGGCCTCAAACGACTCAATTTCCTAGGTATTAACATTACAAACACAGGCTCTGGAACTTATGAATTTCAAATACATAAAAAAGAAGCTATTACAAATGTTCAACTAAACCTCGAAAATTAATCCTAACATTATTATTGGCGTTTTCAAAGGATTTTTATGTCGTACTAAAAGAATATGCTCTCAAAAACACCTTCAAAAAGAAATTGATTTTCTAATAGACATCTTTGTTGAAAATGGTCACGACAAGAACATTCTAAATAATATTACTATAGACTATTTAAAAAACGATTAAAAAAAACACCACATTTCAACTAATAGATATCCAACCCTTTATAAAACTACCTTGGATACCAATTGTTGGTCCAAAACTTCGTAAAGAATTTCGAAAGAAAAACATAAAGGTTATTTTCACATCAACTCCGAATTTAAAAAATATTTTCTGCAACAATAAAACTTAACTACCACTAAACACAGACCCTGCCGTATACCAGCTAAAATGTTCATGCGGTTCGATATACATTGGCGAAACTAAAAAGAAGGTGATATCGAGATGTATTGAACACCAAAAAAACAGCTTAAAAGGAAAATGGTCCAGTTCGGGTGCAACTGAGCATTCTAAAACATGCCATGGTAAGTTTGATTGGTTGCACCCTAAAACATTATCTGTAGCCCAAGTATATCGAACTCGGAAAATCAGAGAGTCACTAGAAATAAGCAAGGCTAGGGTTCAACAGGAGTTGAGAAATGGTGACGTGGTTCTCAATCGGGATGACGGTGATAACGTAACAACCAAAACCTGGGGGCCATTTTTTAATAAAGTCTGCTGACGTCAGTTGTTTGAAAAGTTTTTTTCTGTTTTATATTATGGCTTTTTAATTTTATCTTTTTAACGGTTTGTTTTTACTATAACGATTTTTGTAACTATTTTGTTTATTATACCTGATGACGGTGATCACAATAGATCAGCGAAATATCGAAATAATTATATATTAAAGAAAAAAATATATATATATATTTGAAAAATGTTTATACGCAACTGTATTTATTGAATTCTAACCATATTTTAACGTATAACAAGAAAATGACATTCAAAGATTATATATATATATATATATATATATATATATATATATATATATATATATATATATATATATATATATATATATATACATATATATATATAATATATATATATATATATATATATATATATATATATATATATATATATATATATATATATATATATATATATATATATATATATATATATTAAAATAGTTTAAATGAACAAATACAACTTTATTCGGCGCGCACCCAGCATTTTTTGATATTTCAGATGGACACTTCCATACATTTTGCAAACTCCAAACTTAAGCATGCTCATACATTTACAAAATAAGGAAGTCTTGCAAAAATTTGGGATGGCAGAGGCCTGGAAACAAAAAGCCCTAAAACGTTTTTAATTTATCGACAGATTTTAAATTTCATAAAAAAATATTGTAAATTTTACTTCCTCATTTGGCATTGGTATGAATATACTTAAGTTTGTAGTTGGCACAGTGTATGGAAGTGTCCTATCTGAAACATCAAAAAATGCTGGGTACGCGCCTGTTTATAACGGAACTTAAAGATTGATGCCATTCGGCAATCATCAGCCATATTATTCAAATATAAAATTAAAACCTTTATAAAAAATACAGGTTTAGCGTTGCAACGACACCTGACGTCAATAATACGTGATCCATTATTTGCTAATTGACGTAATGATTGTAAATTTTTTTCCTCTGCTTTCAATCAGAAACTATTTCAAGTTTTTTTTTGTTAAGTAATAATCGACTATCAAAAGTCATAATAAATTATTTTTCATAGACGCAAAGCTTACACTTTTTTGTTAATGGGTTATAAGATCGGTATCTTTTAATTATGTTATAGGTATGTTACCTGCGTTTTTATGTTTCCAGATTTCCTTGGAAAGTTCTGTATCATTCCTATACCTGGTTGCATTAAATGATTTAAGATGGTTCGCAAATCTGAGCTTGAATGTGTTTTCGTTAATTCTGTAGGATTTTTTTGTTTGTAAGAGTGGAATTATATGATTCTAAAGTGGCTTTGTATACAACATTTTTCGATAGACAGTGATTATTTTACGGACTTGTAGTTTTTTATAATGCAGTTGAAATTTATATCATTATCTGTGAGTTTGACCATACCGTTAGACTGGTTACTCATGAAGAAAAATGCTTTCTATCATATTTCTTTAATCAATATCTCAGTTTTTTCAAGCAATCGCAATTTGTATTCTTTATTTGATGCTATATTTATACATGTAATAGTCTAGTTTTGATACCTTTTTCCTCGGTCAGTATGCATAACTTTTAACGAAGTAATTAATTCGTTTAAAAAAGTAACGTTATTGAAGTCAACTTTTTTTTACCTTTCCCCTCCCCTTTCTCAAAAATTGTCAAAATTTTTTGGACCCTCTTCCCATAATTTTAAAAAACAATTTAAGATAGATTAAAGTAATAAATAAAAAATATTATAACTAGAATTATACCACAACAGAAAAGAAAAAAAATATTAGATAAATAGAAACTCAGAGTTAGGGTTGTAAATAGTAAGTTGTAGAACGGTAAAAATTTTCTAAACAAAGTTTTTCCTAAAAATAGCTAAAAAGAGCAATTTTAAATTTTGAGAATGACTTATGATATCTTAGCTGGCACGGGAGATTGTTCCATATTTGATGCTTTTATAGATTTATAAGTACATATAACTTAAAATTGCAAGCAGAATATTGAATACAATCTGATCTGACCCGTAAAAATAAAGTAGGGGAAAGGCCCCTATGATTGCGCCTATGATGGCATACCGGTCATATTTCCATAAATATTGATTTTGATCAAAAAGTGATTAGACCTACATAAATATATCAACTTCACTTGAGTCTTAGTGAAAATATGTCTCTTTTGCACAAATATCGTTTTTTAATCATCAAAAATCGATTTTGGGATGTGCTGTTTTAGCTTTATTTTCTTCATATATTTAAAACTTATGATTTTGTTATTAAATGTGCAGAAATAGAATTTTCATGCATTTTATATCCAAGTTTTATTCATTTAGTGGAATACTTATCTTAATTTTATCTTTTGAGGAAAGCAAACAGCTTGATTAAACAATAACGATGACTTCTTCCTATAATGGTATACTGACAAATTGGGTGTGTTTCAAAATTGACGAGTTGGGTAAAAAAATGTTTATTATAAAAAAACTTATTTTTAAGTAAAGTAAAATAAAAGAGATGCTCCAAAAGTATTTTTTTCCCCAAAAAAATGCATTTAACGCAATATATTCTATGCGCATGCGCAAAACTTTTTTTTTTTTTTTTTAATTATTACAACTACACATTAATTGCAAATTTTTTTACACTGCAATAACATAAACAAAATATACATCCGACACAAAAAAAAATAATATTTTACAAAATACCGTAAAGATAAACATAGGAAGCAATAGTTAAATGCGCTATGACTTAATAAGGGTTTTGAATGTTGTTGAGAACTCGTAGAAGACTGAATTTAGT